AAGAAGATGTCCTTCCCTCTTGTTTGAAACATTCTGCCCAACGTTGCACAGACAATTGGCCATTTCAGCACGAAATTTTTCCATTAACATTGTGGCTGTGTTTTCTATTTGCCTCTCTAACCTCCAATAGAGTAGCCATGCGTTGATGATGGTAACGTCAACTAAATGATAAAAAATTCTGCAATACCATTTTCTGGTTCTCATTGAGATTTTGTGACGCCCTAAAATTACTATCTAAAAGATCCACTACGCCCATATTTCTTTTTATTCTAACACTAAGTTTGGACATGGCACTTCTACTCGTTTTTCTCTTTTTTATCAAACCTTTTCACTTCTTGAACTGAAGAAGAACCCTTGTATGTAGAAAGTAATGTAACTGCTTTATTATCCAGCCATAAAACTGTGCCGAACTCAAGGCCATCACTGCCGCCACCCACACGCAATACGACGCCAACATAACACCCAACCAACTTACTCGGTCACACCTTCTTTTAAGGTGCAAATATGTGAATTTTACCATCTTGCGCTGCTACAAATTAAAATATATCTCTGTTTCAAATTTCTATTTCTTATTTTTTAAACTATTAACTAAACAATTTGCACAATAACACGTTCAAATATTATTGGCTAAAGATAGTAAAAATAATTGAAAAACGTCTTGATTTCTGCAAAAAATCTAAGTTTTAAGTATGAAGAGCTAGCTGGGGGTTTAATATATAACTTTATTTTACTTTGCATTTTACTTATACCCCAAAGGCAATTTTTCCGCGGTATAGCGATTAAAAATGAAAAATTATTGTTTTTCGACATACCGGATTCAGTGTCACATTTTCATCAATTGTTTACAACATTTTATTAGCCACGTTAAACCAAGTGAAGCTAATCCAGTTGTATTAATATTGGATGTTCACTTCTATCACGCGCGGAACATTGAATCGATAAATTTGGCGCGCCAAAACATGTGGTTATTCTTAGTCTTCCGCCACATTCTACTCACAAAATGCAGCCGGAGGACCTTGCTTTCATGAGGCCTCTTAAAACGTGACGTTGTTCATGAGGCTTTCAAAAGTGTGGTATATGCCTATTAAATAAAACCATTTTTCGAGAACATGACTTTGCCATTCACCATCAAGCGGAAGGTGACCGAGTTCCAGTCCAAATCTACCAGAGGCTGAACAAGAAAGCCAAGTAATTCCTCCGAAGCATATAACTCCTCCAAGAAGTATTGATGCGACCAAATGTGTGGAAGATTTATCATGTAAGAACATTTCTAATAATAAAGATGCAACAGTGCGGCCACAAGATATTAGCCCTATACCCACCACTGTACCACCTTTAACCCACCACTGTACCACCCTTTACCCACCATAAATAAAGGAAAATCTATTGCTAAGAAGACAATGGCAACCAAGGTTAACAAGAAAAGTGATGAAAGAGGAAGCTTTTAGTTCATCTTAAGAAGATGAAGAATTCATTTTAGATGATGATTTTGACATGGAATGTGACAATAAGGAAGATGAAGCAGAATGTATGTTTCGTACTGGACTTTTCTCTGAAGATACCTCGGGCGAAAAATTGATTCAGTGCTCAAAGTAGTTTAAGTGGGTCACCAACGACATGTAGACAAAAAAGACACATATATTTGTGCTTTTTGTCTCGATGGCTAATGTTATCGCGTTATCTTAATATCCGGTATTAGAAACATTTTTTGTCAGTCTAAATTTACCGTTTTTTATAAAAATTTAAATTTTATTTTTTACTTCCTAGAAATGATTTATTTTCGTTCTATAAATGATTCTATATAGTGTGTTACTTGTTTCGCTCTAAAATATTCATAAATTAATTGACGTATTAAAACTAATATTAGGTTTAAAAAAAAAAGTATCCGATATTAGGGCACTTTATTCTAAATGTACCTATGCTATGCAAAAAATATCACCTGTCACGTGCGCTGTAAAAAGGTATACGAGGTCAACAACCTCCAATCAAAAATCCATAAATATCGTCATCCTGGAAACATATCTTAAAAATACTAAATTCTTCTTCTTTTTCTTCTATTTATGTAGACATGACTCTGTCTTAGTTAGTGTCGTGCCATCGTTTTCGTGGTCTTCCTACTGATCGTCTTCCTATTGAAGAACCGTTTCTTGCCGTCTTTATTTGTTGGTATTGGGCTTATCTGATTGTTTGATTGTTCCATTCGACTCTTTATTTCTTACTTAGTTCTTGATATTCTCCACCTTGCATCTAATTTGCATATATGTACTAGTTTTGTTTTACAATCAATGTTTGTAAGTGTATTTCATATCTCATTCTGACAGGGGAGCTGAAAGGTAGAACAGGAAACGAGACAAAAAAGTCAAATAGTAGGAACATATGGAGCAGAAGCAACAGACGCAGATGAAGAAAAAATAATAGAAACATGTGAAATAAACAGACTGAAAATTACGAACGGATTCTACCGCCACAAGGATATCCACAAGTTTACCTGAACCCAAGAAACAAGAAACCTCCGAGCTATAATTGACTACTTCATAATGAAAATCGAAACATCGATTAGAGTTACAGATGTCAAAGTTAAAAGGGGAGCGGAATATGGTTCTGGCCACAAATTACTGATAGCAAACATGCGATTCCTTTGGAAAACGAAAAATCAATCAAAACGAACAGTGTAATGAAACTCAAACGCAGGCCGAAACGAAGTACAAACTACACTTGCTAAGGGAAGAATTAAGACTGTCGGCAAAGTTAACAAAATGGAGTTAGTTGAGAACATAGACGAAACATAACATATAAAAACATGCATAAAGGAAGCAGCAGCGGAAGCCTTAGGTTGCGAAGAGAGAAGAACAAATAGATATCGACAACGCCTATCAGAAATCACGCAATATATATAGCAGAAGAAACAGTTATATAATAGATGGTTAAGCTCAAAAGAACAAGTGGATCTAAAAAGATACAGAGAGAAGAACAAAGAAGTAAAAAGATTAATAACAAAAGATAAAAATAATAACGGAATCAACATGTATGAACATCAAACAATACATAGGAGGTACAAAAAACTCAGAATCCTGGAAAGTGATGAATAGTCTGAAAGAAAACACACAGTAAAAAACACATTTTACTTTCATAAGCAAAAAACAATGGAATGATTACTACTAAGAACTCCTGACAGAAGACCGAACAAAATTCATGGAAAATAATAACAAACAACAAATATAAATAAACAACTAACATTGGAAGAAGTAGAAAAAGAGCATAAAACAAATAAAAAATAATGAGTCTGCAGGCCCCAGAGGGATAGCACCCAAGCTAATTAAAAGGTCTGAAAAATTGTTCCGTATGATACATACCATGTTTCAGAGAGCCTTGGACACCGAACAACAACCTGAAGAATGGTCGACAGCCCATATTATCTATTATTTCATGAAAAGGGGATAGAATGAAATGTGAAAAATACAGAGGCTTAAGCATTTTATCATCTATAGGAAGATTATATGGAAAAATAATAAAGGAAAAAATAGAAAAACAAATCCAAGAAGAAATAGAGGACAGACCAGGCAGGTTTTACTGCTGGGAAATCATGTGTTGACCACATCTACACTATACAACAGCTAATAGAGAAGAAGATGGCAAAGCACAGACAGTCCATCTAGCTTTTATTGACCTAAAAAAGGTATAGGACTCTGTGCCCAGACAACGACTGTGGAAAGCCATGCAACAAATAGTAGTAGAAGATAAGCTGATCCATGTAGCGAAGTCCATGTACACACATAATATTGTTACAGTCAAGGTAGGTAACAAGTTTGAAAAACCATTTAAAACCACGAAAGGTCTTCTACAGGGCTGCTCGACTTCACATACATTCTTTAAAATATTTCTTCAATACGCCCTAAAGTCATGAAAACGGAAATGTGAGGGAATGGGAGTACCCATAAGGAACGACCATCTGTATACCCTCAGTTTCGCCGACGATCAGGTCATAATAGTACAAGACGAGGAAAATCTAAGTTATATGGTTCGAAAACTAGAAGAAGAGTATAATATAAATGGTCCGGAAATAAACATTAACAAAACAGAATATCTGAACACAACACAAGAACCGACAAGAAACCTGGAAGTGGATGACGGGCATGAAATAAAGGGGACCGATAAATTTAAATGCCTGGTGTTCATTATATCAAATAAAAGTACTACAGAAGAAGAAAATAAAAATCGAGTAGGTCAAACCAGAAATTCTATAAGACAACTGAATCCAATTCCATGGGACAGACACATAACAAAAAATAACAAAAAAAGAATTTATAACACGATGATTCGCAGCATTCTAACATATGGAGCAGAGAATTGGGTCTTAAACTAAAAGCCGCAGAAACAAAATAAACGCCACAGAAATGGACTACTGGAGAAGAAGCTGCAGAGGTTCCAGAATGGACAAAATAACTAACGACGAAATCAAAAGACGAATGGAGATAAAGAAAGACACCTTAAATTACATTGAAGAAAAAAGATTAACGTGGTACGGACATGTCAGACGAACAGACCCAAACCGATGGATAGCAAAAATAACAGAGTGGAGCCCCATAGGAAAACGCAAAAGAGGCAGACCAAGATTTCAAAGATGAGGTAGATGAAGCAATGGAAAGAAGAGGATTGGAAGACGGAGAATGGGAGGACAAAGAGGAATGGAGAAAATGGTTGAGAGAAGGGAGACAGCGACAGCTGTAGGAACACCTTTTATATATATATTTATTTCATATCTGATAAAGACTGACTTGACCTTGAATAATCAAAACTTCAAACAACACAAAATTTCTTTTACAATATATTTTTTTTCGAGAAACTATTAAAAAGGGTAAACTTTAGTGTTATTATCAAGTACTGTCAAACAAGAAATATAAACACGTCCTAGATATAAAAACAGTACTAAAAAATAGTAACTTTAAGCTAAATACTAATTTTAAATTATACCTATATCACCAAATTAAACAATTACTTACTCAAACTTACTGATAAATTGGTAACAGCATTACTTGATATCACTGTTCGCGTAGATTCATTAAAAATTGCGGAAATTGCACTATTCATAGTTGCATTGTTAACTAATGTAAAATTAGAACCACCAAACACGTTAACATTACACAAGAAAAACAAACACAAAAACTTCAGTCTTACACTCATTTTGGATGTACAACGTCTGAGTTCGAGAGCTAGTCTGTGTTTTCGTGATCTTTGAACTATTTTAATATATTCAATGATAAAAATCCATACTTGGGATTTCTGTTTTAAGTTAAGAGATTATTTCATTCTTTCACTTATTCCAAGTATAAATAAAATAAGCAGGAAATATATTTTAATTGTTTACCGCAAATAAACCTGTTCAGAAAAACCACTAGGTTATGGTTGTGTATATGTGTGTTCTCATATGTTATTTATCGTCATAAAAATTCAAAAAATATAAATAATGGTAAAACTTTAACTGAACTAAAATTATTAATAATCACCACTCATTTATAATAATATGTAATTTAGCAAATAGTAATTATATAGAAAAAGTGATATTATGAACGACTTACGTCACTTCTTTCAAAGGGAATATCAACAAAGAATTTTTAGTAATATCGCAACACAAATATATACATACGAAAAATCAGTGGCGCGCTTAGAATTAGTCTAAGGGGGGGGGTTTGAAATATTTTATGCTACCTCCATTTTGAGCCCTAAAATTTGGGTTTTAGTTTAATTTATAGATAGCACTGCCAAAGATTCAGGTATATATTATCCTGCCTACCCAACTAAAACAACCCTCTCTTACTTGTCCGCAGTTAACTGTCGCACGTACCGTACTCCGAAAGTGGGTGGCCGCTGTAAGGCTGACGACATTTTTGGAACACTTCCTTCTCTTATCTAGATCTTATCTATTGTTCTGAAGCTATTTTCTTGTGGCATTTTAAAGTAATTACTATTTTATTTCACTTTCACATATTTATAAACTATTTACAAAAATAATTACGAAACCACTAGAAAATAAATTGGAATTTTATCAGCCCATAGAACAGGCAGGTTTTAGAAAAGGCTATGGAACAAACTATCACCTACTGGTAATAAAAAATCTTATAGAAAAATGCACTGAATATAATAAACCACTAGCTTTAATATTTGTCGACTATGAAAAGGCATTCGACACCGTAAATCAACACAAAATGTTGGGAAGCCTTGACAGAATGCCGGATTGACTATCGGTATATAAATATAATTAAACACATATACCAAAGCGCAACAGCCAGTGTTAGAGTAGGTGATCGTCAAACCCAGAAATTCCCGATACACCGTGGAGTACGTCAGGGGGACACCATATCGCCGAAACTGTTCACTACGCTTTTGGAATACATATGTAAAAGGGCAAAACTGACCGACAAGGGCATAAACATAAACGGAGAAAAGCTTAGCCATCTAAGGTTTGCAGATGATATTGTACTAATAGCTGATAGGATAGATGAGACCGAACGAACTTTTAAATCAGCTCTACCTTCCCTCGCTAGAAGTGGAATTGAAAATAAATATATCTAAAACCCAAATGATGACGAATCTTGTAGTCAGCGAAGATATATGTGTAGGAACAAGATGCATAGACCAGGTAATGGCCTATAAATACCTAGGTCATGAGATCCGCATAGGAAAAGATAACCAAACCGTTGAGCTTCTCCGTCGTATAAGACTGACTTGGGCAGCCTTCGGCAAGCTGAACCATATTTTCAAATCGTTTGATATACCAATATGCCTTAAAAGAAAAACCTTTAATCAGTGTGTTTTGCCAGTGTTGACTTACGTGCGGAAACGTTGACCATGACAAGGAGAAATGTTCGAAAGATCCGTGTGTGTCAAAGGGCGATGGAGCGTGCTATGTTGGGCGTTTCACTACGAGACAAGATCCCAAATCGCCAGCTACGACAAAGAACAGGAGTGGCTGATGTAGTAGAGAGAGTAGCAACACTGAAATGGAACTGGGCAGGTCACGTGGCTCGAATGACAGATAACAGATGGACAAAGCGGATACTGGAATGGAGACCAAGAGATGATGCCTACCGAAGCAGAGGTCGTCCACCAACACGTTGGACTGACGATCTAAAACGTTGTCATAGGAATTGGATGCAAGAGGCACAAGATCGGAATAGATGGAAAATTATGAGGGAGATCTATGTCCAGCAGTGGATAAGCGAAGATTGAATGATGATGATGACTATTTTATTGGGAATAAGCCACACTTATTGAAGGTTAAGAATAAGTTTATTGACGCTTGACATTAATCCAACTTGTAAATATAACACATTTTGGAGATGGCTATTGCCGTATTTCCGTTCTCGTCCGCCGATCCTCCCTGTACAAGGCATGCTTCTCCTCCAAACCTCTCGAGTTCATCGCTCTACTAATTCCTTCATGCCATGAGCGTCGAGGTCACCCCTTTTTCTTTTTCCATGGAGCTTCCATATAGATGCTTTATCATCAATTCTAGATCATAAGAATCTTGAGCTAGGACGACTTGGTTATCCGAAGTTCAGAGAACAGTAATCATTTCCTATGGGAATTCCCGTTCCCTGGCACAGGTTTTTCCAATTTTGGAGGAGCTGCCTCAATAAATAAATTAAACAGTAAGTTTTCTAGATCGATGAAGGCTAGAATGTACTTCGTAACCAACGCTTTTCTTTTTTTATTAATTGTTGGAGTATAAACAAGTTATCAGTGCAAGATCAAAGATCAAAGATTCAAACGTCAATAAACTTATATTTAACCTTCAATTGCGGCTTATTCCATTAAAATAGTAATTAGATCTTATCTCTGCGTTGGCCCGGTTGGTGTTTCACTTCTTCTTCTTTCTTTTTAATGACTGCTCGGATGTAATTGTGAGCACTATGCCATCCCTCTGTACTTCCCGTCATCTTCACGATCATCTCTCTTACAGTCACAGGGTTCATACCTATTCCTTTATACATTCTGTTTCTCTCCACTGTACATCTATTACACTCCAGCATTGTGTGAGTAACAATGTCAGAATATTCGCAGTATAGGCATTTATCTGTATCTGTCTTTCTAAACCTATGAATATACGCCCTAAAACAGACAATCTACCCAGTCCCTTAGGCTCGGGATCAGCATCTTTGGGCAACATCTTCCTTGTTTTTCCACTCTTCTTGTCATCTTTACTTTGATCTTTCCCTTTCTTGATTTTTTATAGCTGTTGTCAAATGCTCTCTTCTCTCATAGAGATGTCTCTTTTCTACTGCTAACACATGCAGACGAACACAACCCATGATAGTCCACAAGGCCGCCGCAGATACAGTTCTGCAGGCGCATGCTACTCGCAACAGACTCGTTCTGTCTACTTTTCTCATAAGCCTAATATTAGGCTACCAAACGATTAATAGGCCAATCTTACAGAATCCACGAATTAGAAATACTAGTGGTAGATGCCGTGGCGGTCTCAGCTTGCGTAGAGGAGGGACTTTGAATTGGGTAGGAGCCTCTCAATACTTTACGTAAGATAGACTGGGCGGGGGATGTCCTCAACCCGCGTCCCAATGGCTGATAGGGAATCTTTCTGCAGATATGCAGGGCAGGTACGAATAAGGCTTAGCCAAATAAGTACCCGCGGATAAACTGAGGGAATGGCATTAGGCAGCAGTGATGCCATTACTGAATCAAGGCTGTTAGAACGACATCTAGCAGGTTGACGAGAGACACCCACAGGCGGCAATCCCATAATGATTTAACTGGCTGTGATACTGCTGTGCAGAAAGCAATGGGAAACTACTGCACTAAATCTCCTAAGAAAAGCTACATGACAAATACGAATCATACTACGGCCCGAGTCTTCGACGTCCCTTTAATGGGACAGGGGTGCTAAGAATCTCCGGAGGGAAAAATAAAATAAAATAGATCATTAATAAAACATATTGCTAAGTGGAATGTTAGAACTTTATATCAATCAGGAAAGCTAAAAAATGTACAACTCGAAATTAAACGTCTGGGCCTGCAAGTCCTTGGAATTAGCGAAGCTAGATGGACCGGATCGGGAAACTGTAAAAAGTGGAGGTTATATTACTTATTACTCTGGAAAAACGGATGATGTTCATGAAAATGGTGTTGCTATAATTCTTGAGGAGCGACTTGAAAACCTGGTTGACAAATTTGTTCCTCTTTCAGAGCGAATAATGATAATAACTATTAAAAGTAAGATTAATATAAACTTAATACAAGTATACGCTCCTAAAAGTACAGTACAGAAAACTAAATTAATGAATTTTACCATGTATTAAAGATAGCACTAAATAACACAAAAAAACACGAAATTTGTGTAATAATGGGAGACTTCAACGCTAAAATAGAAGAAGACATAACACATGTATTAAACAACCAAAAAGACGTCTCTATACATGGATATCACCAAGAGATGGCCATGGTAGTGTAATGCGTAACCAAATAGATTATATCATGATTAACAATAGATTTCGAAACTCATGTAAATGTACTAAGACATATCCAAGTGTCGACGCAGCCACCGATCACAATTTACTGGCATCTAGAATCAACCTAAAATTAAAGACAATCAAAAAGCCTTCCATTACAAAGAAATACGATAGACAAAAACTAAAAGAAGAAGAATTTAAACATCACTTTGAACAGACAATGAACGAAAAAATTCGACACAACATCACACAAGTATACAATCTATCACAGTCGAAGAAGATGGGATAACATAAAGAATGGTATCATCGATACAGCAACGCAAAGTGGAGCTGTCACCCATTATAAAAAGCAAGCGTGGATGAAAGATGAAAAAATCGAAATGATGGACGAAAGAAGACAGCTTAAAAATAGAAATAACTCAGAGTATAAACGAAAGCATAATCTGATTCGAAGAAAAATCAGGGAAGCCAAAGAGTTATGGATGCGAGCAAAATGTGAGGAACTAGAAGAATTGCAACGAAAACATGACGAATTTACCACATATAAGAAAATAAAGAAGTTACAGTACACAAAAAAAATACACCCATAACATTAACGAATAATGAAGGTCATGCACTATCCCAAGAAGACGAAGTAATGGAGGAATGGGAAAACTACATTAAAGCATTATTTAAGGATGATCGAGGATCAATATCCTAAGTTAATTGCAAATACAGGACCATCAATATTAAAAGCTGAAGTGGAAAAAGCCATACACCAAGCC